TAGAGCTTTGTTTGGGATAATAGAGAAGTTCTTAAAATGGATAGTGGTGATAGTTGTACAACACTGTGAATGTGCTTACTATAAGTGAATTGTACACTTAAAAATGGTTAAATGGTAAAGTTTATTTTATATATTTTATTACCAAAAAATATAACTCACTGGCTAAAGCAAAAATAGTAACATATTGTGGGTTTTATAAAATGTTAAGGTAAAACATATGACAATAGTAACACAAAAAATGTGAATGAAGAAATGAAAATATGTTCTCTGAACACACTGAAATTAAATTAGAAATCAATAACAAAAAGATATCTAGGCCAAGCATAGTAGTTCACACCCGTAATCCCAGCACTTTGGGGGGCTGAGGTGGTGGATCACCTGAGGAATTCGACGCCAGCCTGACCAACATGGTGAAACCTCATCTCTACTAAAAATATAAAAATTAGCCGGACATGGTGGCACATGCCTAATCCCAGCTACTTGGGAGGCTGAGGCAGGAGAATTGCTTAAACCCAGGAGGTGGAGGTTGCAATGAGCCAAGATCACAGCACTGCACTCCAGCCTGGGCAACAAGAATGAAGCTCTGTCTCAAAAAAAAAAAAAAAAAAAAAAAAAGATAACTAAAAAATTCCCAAATATTTAGAAATTACATAGCAAACTTCTAAATAATCCATGAATTGAGGAAGAATTAAAGAGAAATCAGAAAATACTAAACTAAATGAAAATGTAAACGTAATATATCCAAATCTGTAGGCTCTTGCTAAAGCAACAGTTGGAGGAAAATTTACAGGATTAAATGTGTATATTAGAAAACACATTCAAATCAACTTTTTTTTTTTTTACTACTAAATCTAACCTAACACCTCATTTTTATACAAGGAGCTCCCTCTTTACCTCTTAGGCATTGTTCCTCACTCTCTGCCCTAATCCATATGTTTTCATACTCTGCCTCTCTGAATTTTACAATCTATTTCATGCCCATTTCATGTGAGAAAACAGTTTTCATTCTCCTTCTCTAAATTCAGAGTTGGTCCCCCACCCCCCAGAAGCACTCACTGGGTTCTGACCAGTTACCATCTTGTATTTTTATTCTTTTAGCATTATAGTCATGACTACTAAGCTAAACTATAAAACTTCTTAAGAGCATGAACCATCTCTTCTTATTCTGTGTAACCCTTCTAGAACTTAGCACAGTATTTCAATACATTTTGGTTGATTCATTGGTTGAAGTACTAGAGCATAACTTATATTTCTATTTGGCATTAAAGCATGACATTATTGAGAGGTGTCTTACTATATCTAGTTTCCAACATTTCTGATGCCAAAAAATACTCCTTCTGTTAAAAATAATGGTGTCTTCACATTGGAATTCCTCAAGTCCTATTACTAAGTCCCATTCTCTGTGCTGTATGAAATTTCATCCAGTTTCATGGCATCATATAGTGTCTACAGACTGATGATACCCAAATTTCAACTTCTAGTTAAAACATCTCCTCTGAGCTCCAGGATTGACAACTCCAACTGTATGTCTACTGGGTTTCTTAAACTTAACATGGTCAAAAATGAATTCCTGATTTCCCTTCATTCCCACCTCTGTCCCTAAATCTGTTTTTCTCCCAGCTTTCCCATCTTATTTAAAAGCACCAGCATTTTCTTTAACAGTACTATGTAATTCACTCAGTTACTCAGGCAAAAACCAGGAAGGCTATCTTAATTATTTTTTTTTCTCTTCCTCTCACCCACTACATCCAATAAATCACTAAATCCTGACGATTCTACCTCCAAAAAATATCCTGAATATATCTATTTCCCTTAAAATCTAAACAGGTAGTAGAGAGTTGTGGTTAAGTGCATGGACTCTACAACTAGTCTTGCTTTAATTCAAATCCCAGCTTTCCAACTTACTAGTAATGGGCAAGTTTCTTAACCACCTTGTGCCTCGGTTTCATCATTTGTAAAGAGAGGATAATAAAAATACCTTCATATGGCTGTTGTGAAGTGAGGGTTAAATGAGGTAACAGAATGTAAAAAAGAATGCCTGGCATATATTACATACTATATAAATGGTGACTACTATTTTTATTATTGTAATCAATACCACTATCATCCTAATATAAGCCCTTATCATTTTTTGCCTACACAATATCTGATTGCACATTTGCTATGCTTTCATTTTGCCTCTCTCCAGTTTTATTTTTAAAAAATCATGGGGTCACTCTCCGGCTTTAACACTTCAAAGACTCTCCACCACACTGAGGATGCAGACCAAGTCTCTCTCTTGCTCAAAAAGAGTCTTAACAAATTCTATCCCCCTACTCCCTAGCCAAGCAATCTACCATTTAGAGGCCGCTGGCTAATAAGCATCTCTTCCCACACATTTACACTCCAGAAACAGCTACATCAAATAGCATTTCACACAATAATTTAATCACAATAGTTTCGCATTTATTTAAACAAGATTATACCTGGTTGAGTTCAGCCTCAAGGCAAAAAACTTGGTGGAATGAAAGTGAAAGACAGGAGCCTTTGTAAAGGGTTGTGGGGTAGTGTCACCAAAATCCGAAAGAGGAAATGAGAGAAAGGGAGAGATGTAGGAGGCCTTTGCCTGCTTTGCAATTTTATGTAGTGTACAAGGAGCAACAGACTGGATGCTATGAATCTAGGCTGCCTTGGAGTTTTCTTTTTTTTTTTTTTTTTTTGAGACAAGGTCTCACTCTGTCACCCAGGCTGGAATGCAGTGACTCGATCTCAGCTCACTGCAGCCTCAACTTTTTGGATCCTCCCACCTCAGCCTTTCAAGTAGCCATCATGCTTGGCTAATTTTTTTGTATTTATCTTTTTGTAGAGACAGGGTTTCACCATGTTGACTAGGGTGGATTCCAACTCTAGACTCAAGTGATCCACCCAACTTGGCCTCCCAAGTGCTGGGATTACAGGTATGAGCCACTGTACTCAGACTGCCTTTGGTTCTTATGCTGATTAATGATGCTGAGTTTCTACAATTGTTTCAAAAACTTCAGATCTTAACCTAATCTAGTTAAGCACAAGTTCCCCCTCGACCAGGATGTAGAGAATAGAGAAAAGAAAAAGTAGAAAAAGGAAAGCATTCTATGTCAAACACTGGTGACCTTCCCACTCTGTAGTCTTCCTCCCATCCATTACTATAAGAAGTTGCAAGAAAATTTAACTACCGTTGGGCATATGGAGAACTCTTAAAATTCAATAAGAAAGCAGCCTGCTTCAAAAATGGGCAAAAACTGAGCAGCATCTCATCAATGAAGATATACAGATGGCAAAGAACCTTGTGAAAACAAAATCCATTTCATATGTTATCAGGGAAATGCTAATTAAGACAAAAATGAGAAAGTACTACACATTTATTAAAATGGCCAACATACAAAGCACTGACAACATTAAAACCCGGTGAGGATGTGGAAAAACAAGAACTCTCATTCCTTGTTGGTGGGAATACAAAACAATACAGCTACTTTGGAAGGCAGAAAGTTTCTTACAAAACTAAACATATTCTTACTATACAATTCAGCACTCCTTTGCATTTATTCAGAAAACATACGTCCAAATGAAAACCTGCAAACAATGTCTATAGCAGTTTTACTCATAATTGCCAAATTTCAGAGGCAACTAAAATGCCCTTCAGTAGGTGAATGGATAAACTATGGTATATCCAGAAAATAAAATATTATTCATCACTAGAAACAAATGAGCTCTCAAGCCACAGAAAGACATGGAAGAAACTTGAAAGCCTATTATTAAGTGAAAGAACCCAATCTGAAAAGGCTGTATGATTCTAAATATGTGACATCCTAGGAAAGGCAAAACTATAGAGACAGCAAAAAAGATCACTGGTTGCCATGGGTTAGGGGGAAAATAGGAATGAACAGAAAGAGAACAGATGATTTTTAGGGCAGTGAAACTATCCTGGCATGATACTACAATGGATACATATGTACATATATACAAATGTAAGATATGTGGATATGCATCCTACATTTGACAAAACCCACAGAATGTACAACACTAAGAGTGACCCTAATGTAATCTATGGACTTTGGGTGATAGTGTGCCAAAATAGGTTCACTGATTGTAACAAATGTACCATTCTGGTGTCAGATGTTGACAGCCAGAGAAAATATGTTTGGGAACAGTGGGTTTATGGGTACTCTCTATGCTTTCTGCTCAATTTTCCTGTGAACCTAAAACTGCTCTAAATATATAATTTTGCAATTGACAAAAATCTAATGAGAGCCAAAAAATTAGTGTTTGACATGGACAAGTCAAAAATGTTATTTGACAGGGGTCTTGTGTAAATAATAAACAATAATTAACTGGAATAAATAATAGCCTGAGATTGTAAACAAAAAATACTACCTTGGAACTCTCATATATTGCTGATGGGAATGTAAAATGATACAGGCACTATGGAAAATAGTTTGGTGGTTCATTAAAAAGTTAAACACGTAATTACAATATAACCAAGCAATTTTCCTCCTAGGTTTATACCCCAAAGAACTAAAAACAGACGTTCAAACAAAAACTGTAATTCAATGTTCATAGCAATTCATAGCAGCCAAAAGGTAGAAACAACCCAAATGTCCATCAGCTGATGAATAAACAAAATGAAATGTTATTCAGCCACCAAAAGGAATGAAATACTGATATACACTGTAATACAGATAAACCTAAGAAGCTCGACAAAAAGGCCACATAGTATATAATTGCATTTATATAAAATATTCAAAATACATATACCCATAGGGACAGAAAGAAGGTTAGTATTGGTAGGGCCTGGGAGGAGGGAGAAATGTGGAGTAACTGCTTATGGGTGTAGGGTTTCCTTTTTGGATGATGAAAATGTTCTGGAACTAGATAGAGTTAATGGTTGCAAAACTTTATGAAGTACTAAATGACACTAAATTATACACTTAAAAATGGTGTATTTTTCCCATTAAAGAAAAAAGGAGTGGACTAAGAAAAAATACCTTGATTTTTTCACTTTCTTTTCTCACTCGCTTTGCATTTTCAATAATGTAAACAGTGCTTTTGTTGACTTCATTGTCAGCTCTGTGTCTCAGCCAATCCTCATATCCCTGAAAGATAAAAATAACTATATAATAGAGTTCAGATATTGAATAAGGTTGTTAATAAATTTCTGTATCCTCCCGAGTCAACAGTAGATATTTATATTTATAGCATTAATTTAAACTCAGTCTGTTAAAGAAACAATGCTGTATATTTTAATAGCAAATCTGAGATATACTTTCAAAATACCCCTTAGGTAAATAGCTTTATTTAAATCTACTTCAGATGAAAAGTCCAAAGTAAAATGAGCCATTAGATCTTTCTCTGATCACTTTTAACTGTAGTTAAAACTAAAATACAGTGTTAAGTTTTCTCCATTCTTTAAACATTAATGAAAACACAAGCATTGGAGACTTACTATTTTGTATGTGTGAAAGACTATGATTGATTCTAATTGTAGTCTTATTCAAATTAATGTTAATTCTCTCTACTTTTTAATTTGAAAAAAGATTGTCCTGGGTTTGTGTTTTCTTATAGCCATAATCACTTACATATAATCTTTGTACATGCTGTAGTAGACTGTTCGAGTAATCATCTCCAAGGGAGTATTTTAATTATTTCTCACCCACAAAGAATAGAAAAGGCAAGCTAGGATTGTTTTGGCAGAGAAGCTATGATAAGTTTTAGAGATCAACAGCTAAACTTTTCAACGGACTTAGTGATAAAAAAAAAAAATACAAATTGGTATCCATTTTTACACTTGATCTTAGCCAAAAGGCCGAGAAGTGATAAGTATCCATTTTTTATAGTTAAAAGTAATCAGAGAAAGATCTAATGACTCATTTTACTTTGGACTGTTCATCTCAAGTAGATTTAAGCCAGGAGATCTAAAGAAGGAAGATGTTCATTTGTTTGAGCATGACCTCCTCTCATTTTTTATACACCTTTGCCTTGTTCATTGTAATGATGTCTGTACCTTTTAAAATACAACTGTTTGAAAAATCTCTTCATCACCTCCCCCCACTTTTTTCCCCTCAGGTGCTATATCTATTCTTCTTCTGTCCTCTTTATGACAATATTAGGCTATCACTTTATAGGGTACATTCTGTGAAGCTGGTGAAGAAATAAAGGCCCTAACATGAACCAGTATTGGGAGTAGAATGAATCAGTAAAAAAGCCTTTGAAAACCACACATGCTATTCTTGGAACCAGCAATTTTATGATGTTAAAGAAGATAATCCTACCAGCCTAAGGGAAAGAACATTCCAAAAGTCTTTATTTTGCAACTGAACACTTGATAAAATACTCTTATAGTTCCTGGTAGGCAAGATATAAGACCAGATAACCCCAAGAGGAAAGGTAATCTTGTTCCCAGTACTGCTAAGATGATTTTTTTTTGCAAGCTTCTTTGGTATCCTTTTTAAAAGCACTTTGTTAAGTATCATCTAAAAGTATGTTTGTAAACAGTCAGATCCTGTGGACAGACACAACACATGATTAACACTGTTAATCTACCCTTTCACCCCCAGTTTTCTGTTTCTATTTTCATCTGGAATTTTTCAAACATACTAGCATACAAAATGTTCAAAACACTTCAAAGACATCCATATCACAATCTGTGGCAGTCTATCAGCTCTGACACACACAAAAAAAAAAACAAAAAAAAAAACAGGAAATGTCCCCTCTATCTACTACCTTCTGCAGCAGTATCAGGAAAAAAACAATAAAATTATTCTTTGAGTTCTCTGCTATAGGCAAAAACAATTTTAAAAATCCACAAAAATGGCAGTTTTTCACAGACATACCACACTGAAACAATTAATGTGCATTAAAAATCTACCTCCTATTTCCTGACTGGGCTATACCTTTTACCTGCTTTCTTTTACGTTTATATCCCCTCACACAGATATTGAAGAGAAAACAAGGAAATATTAAGGATGTGCTTTACTACCATTTTAATAGGTTTTCAACAAGTAACAAATACAAAATAAATCCAGCCAGGCATGGTGGCTCACACCTGCAACCCCAGCACTTTGGGAGGCCGAGGTGGGCAGATCACCTGAGGTCAGGAGTTCGAGATCAGCCTGACCAACATGATGAAACCCTGTCTCTACTAAAAATACAAAAATTAGCTGGGCGTGGTGGCAGCTACTCGGGAGGCTGAGGCAGGACAATTGCTTGAACCCAGGAGGTGGACAATGCAGTGAGCCGAGATCGCATCACTGCACTCCAGCCTGGGCAACAGAGTGAGACCCTGTCTCAAAAATAATAAATAATAAAATAAAAGTAAATCCATAGAAGATAATGCCCACTGTATATAAATATGGAAAGGGGCCTTTGACAATGAAATTCTAACAATGAAATGCAGTTGCAAGTATAAGTAGGAAATTTACCTGCTTGATGGCTGTAACAGTTATAACAAAGAAAAGTGGAAGTCCACTGGTAACTGGGCTAGTTGGTGTGTCTACTGTGACCTAGGTAAAGAAATTAAATTGAAAGGAAAATGAAAATTAGTTATTAACTCATATGCAGCATTTTACATGCTGCAAACATTTCAAACAGAAACATAGACGAAACACATTCCAGTAGTAGGGTAAATATTAATTTTCATTAAAACAAAAGCAAACCAAATGACAGTTTAACAAATAGTCCTAAATTCAGGCATAGTTTTTATCCCAGCTCAGATTAACCCCTTTATTGAAATATAGCCATTCACTTACCACCTATTTGCTAAGCACCATTCTGTCAGCCCTTGTGCTATTATCAGCCAAGCTCTAGATAGACTGCTTTAAACAAGATGAGGACAAGTCCCTGCCTTCATGTAGCTGGCAGCTTATAGGAAAAATCAGATAGTAAAACAAGTATGTAGATGCTGAGGTCTGAAGGGTAAAAAGAAGTTAACTAGATGAAAGGTAGTTTTCTAGGCACAGTGAACAGTATACGCAGGTGTTTGGGAAATAAAGGAAGCCAGTGCCAAGAGGGAGTGTGGTGTGAGATGGGGCTGGAGAGGGAGGCAGGAGCCAGTCTGTGCAGGGCCCTCTAGGCCAAAGAAAGCTGTTCATTCTTTATCCCACAAATAACAGGAAATCCTTGAAAGTTTTAAACAAGGAAAAGTCACATGAACAGAACTGAATTTTGAAAAGATCATTCTTACTGCTCTGTGGAAGATGAATTAGAAGGGAACAAAAGTGAAGGCAGGGTAATTTAGGAGGCTATTTCTGTAATCTAGGTGAAAGATGATGGCTTGGACTAGAGTGTTAGCAGACATGGAAAGAAGTTCTATAAATATTTAGGAGGGAAAAATGGCAGGAGTTAGAGGGTAAGTGCTTATTAAAGATGCCTCCCAAGTATCAGGTTAGCATGCCTAGGTGGATGTTGTCATCATTCACTGAGACGGGAAATACTGAACGAGAACTAGATTTAAGGGAAGATGGTCATGAGTACAATCTGCCCTCACAACTTGTTGACTCTCATCTCCAACCTTCCATCAGGCCTGCCCCTGCCATACACACGTGTTGTAGATACAACATATACTTCCATGTACACAAGGCTTCTACATGCTTCTGTCGCTTTAGGCAATCTCTTCCCTGTCCCCAAAATACCAGTTCGGCATTCTCCACCAGGTAAACTCCTTCTAATCCTTCAAGGCTCCATTCAGATACCATCTATTTTCTGAAGATTTCTCAAATTCCTCTTGGGGAGAAAAAAATGATAACTTACACTGTATACCCAAAGCATTTTGTTCATGCTTCTTGAATGGCTTTACTACATTAAGTGAATACATAACTGTTATGTGACTGGTCTTCTTAGCTATAGCATAAATTCCTTAAGCGTAGAAAAGCTGTATCTTGATCTTCATTGTACCTGCTACCACTTTCGTTGTCTGTCCTGCTGCATAGCACACAGTAAGTGGGTGAGTAGCATACATTTGCTGAATTGAAATGAAATGCACTGCCCACCAAGTAGAATGATTCTTGCAAGCAGAATCCTCGAGGTAGTTTATTCTGTTCGTAAGACATCTGACCATGGATCCAGAGGAGCTCCTTTTCAAATCTTCCATCATTCATGATTAAAATAGGCTCTTGCCCATATTATATCCCAGATAGATGTTAAGTAGCAAGGCTAAATTCAATTATAGCACCATTTACTCAAACCCTTAAAGTGAGTAAACAGAAGCACTTAACATCAACAAGTCATTTGAGCAATTTCATTGGGATTTTTCTGCTTCATTTAAAAAATGAAAAGAGAAAAAAAGTACCTTTAATGTAAAATTTTCAGGGATAATTATGACGAGGAAAAGATTTTAATAGCTTACAGATTCAAAGATGGAAGATGCAATTTAAACTGTCTAAAATTTAAAACGCAAAACAGTAGAAAAAATACAGAGAAGCAGATTAATCTACTAGACTCTCACCCTTAAAGTGAGTAAATGAATGAGGGAGAGCAAAAATGGTAATCAGGAAGATGAGTGAGAAGTTTCCAATTAAGCTGAAACTGGTATGTAATAAGATAAAGCTACTAGTTTGAACTATTTTCAATTTTGATATATTCTATTTCATTTAATGGTACACAATACACATCATCCTAGGAAGAGCAAAGATATGAAAGTTTCAAAGAAAATAATGAAATAAAATCTCAATAGGTTTTCTATCAAAAATGCCACTTTAGAAATCCATAAAATGATCATCTTTAAATGTTATGTTTCTACTTTTTTAAGAAGTCATATTATAATAAGCTCTGGAATGTCTTTTTTTTTATTACATGGCATTTTAAGGTTAGAAATGGATAGAAAATTTGTTTGAAGCAATCAAGTTTCAACGTTAAGTGGCTGTTTAAGGAGCTCTTACCTGTACAAGGAAAATTATGAGAAAATAAAAATTTGCAATTCTTCTAAATTGTTCAAACAGATTCTTTGGGAGAAAATTCCAAAGTGTATACTATAAGAGAGGAAGAAAAAATAACACTGTTATGATGGAAGCTTGAAAAATCTTAATAGTAATGACCGATTACGGGTCCACATTATCATATAAAGTGATATTTAGTATGTCCAACTCATTGAAATACAAACCTCACACATACGCATAAGCACATATTTAGAGACACAGTATATAAAAACCTTTTCAAGAAATAAAGTTTTCATTCTAAGCATTACAATAGTCATCTAGTCTCATATTGTTGCTTTCTCCGAACCCAATCCAAATTAGGTTCCTTGTTATGTGTTCTCATGTCATCCTATATATACTTACTTAATAACACTCATTATAGTGAATTATATATGTGTACATTTTAAATTAAAGTTTCTCTCTCAATAAGCACTGAGTTCTATAGGGGCAGGTTATTCACCTGTATTGTTTACATTTTTCCAACACTTAACACAGTGCCTGGTACAAGGTAGACACTAAATTATTTGAATGGCCAGGCACAGTGACTCACACCTGTAATCCTAGCACTTTGGGAGGCCGAGGCAGACAGATCACCTGAGGTCAGGCATTCGAGACCAGTGTGGCCAACATGGCAAAACCCCGTCTCTACTAAAAATACAAAATTTAGCCAGGTGTGGTAGCACACACCTGTAATCTCAGCTACTCGGGCAGCTGAGACAGGAGAATCACTTGAAACTGGGAGGCAGAGGTTGCAGTGAGCTGAGATCTCGCCACTGCACTCCAGCCCAGGCAACAGAGTGAGAGCAAGACTCTGTCTCCAAAAAAAAAAAAAGCCTCGGCAACACGGTGAAACCTCATCTCTACTAAAAATACAAAACTTAGCCAGGCATGGTGGTGCATGCCTGTAGTCCCAGCTACTCAAGAGGCTGAGGCACGAGAATCACTTGAACCCGGGAGGCGGAGGCCGCAGTGAGCCAAGATCACACCACTGCACTCCAGCCTGGATTACAGAGCAAGACTCTGTCTCCAGAAAAACAAACAAATAAAACAAATAAAATAAAATAAAAATTAATTAATTAGAGGAATGAATGGACACATTAATTCCTGGCTCAACTAACCTCTGGAGTCTTGATGATTATAACAGATACCCCTATGAGTCACTCTGTCCTTATGAGTACCTCTAATTTCCATGACAGCTAGGAAGGTGTATATACAACCCTGGGACGTGGAGGGCTTTCATTTTAATCAACAACATACCACTCTGGGCTGGGCTTTGGTAATTGGCAATAGGTAATAAAAGTTTCATACTAAATTAACACATGGTCAGAAGAAGAGTACTCAGGCCAACTGTCAAGCCATACGTACTTTGTACCTGATACCTTAAGCTCAAGGACTGAAGCACTTAAAAGTGACCAGAAAAAGTTGAATTTTTGAGATGACCTAGTAAGACCAGACACTAGAAAGAAAGGTTTCTTTACCAAAAGGGCTAAATTTACAGTTGAGTGATCTTCATCCCAATTATGTGTATAATATGTGAGAATATATCCTTTAATAAGGTGACTGAAAAGCCAAGTCATATTCCTCGACATAATGTATGGGAATTTACTAATAACCTTTCAGTTTAAAAAGGCTTATGGGCTCAAAATTTAGAGAATCCTGAGAGAAAAAAGACAAAAGGAAGCAAAGAGATTCAGTAGAACAGCTGCATTACAACCAATAACCAACTTAGAAAAGGTTCTATCCTACAGTCCCAGAAGTGCCTTAGGGAAAATAATTTTAAAATAAATGCAGAATTGTGCATGGGTATGCATCATTGAGAAGAATAAAGTCCACATTTTTCATGAGATTCCCAAGGTAGCCTGTGACCAAAAATAGAAACCATTCAAAACCACTGATCCAGTCACTTTGAAGCTGATACAGGGTAGACCAGCATTTTTAACTGTCCTAATTACTTAAAATCAACTTTCTAAAACAATAAGGTAAACTCCAACAACAAGCTAATGGCTGAGCTTCTGGTATGTTACCCTTGTGTTCCCAAATTAAAGAGTTTTTAATTATTCAAATAAGCATTAAAGACAGAGTCATCTGTGAAAGGTGACATAAACACATCAAAAGGGAATACTTTTTTTTGGTGTTGTCGTTTTTAAGTCCCAACTATCAGTTTACCGCTGCTGTCTTATCAAATGAACTGCTCTAATTATTCCCTTCATAGGAAATGACTACCCTCTTCTCTCCTTCATCAGGTCATGAGCTATTAAGAGATCAGGGAGCATGTCACATGCCTCCTTACCACAGGTGCCTAGAACAATAGCTAGAACCATAGTTTAGCACATAGAAAGTATACAAGAAATCTTTACTCAAACTTGTGCCCCAGCCATTTACTCTACTGGTTTAACTAAAAGGTAAACTTAGTTTCTTTCTATCACATCTTTTTTATTACAATACAAATGTAATATTTTAATGCAGACCAAGAAAAGTCTACTTTTCAGAGTTGTCTAACTCAAAGTAAAATTTAGTTCAGCCATATACATCAAGTTATTCAATTAACTTGTTTATCTAAAAAGTAGACTCTCCTGGGTCAGTTGTTACAAACCAAAAACAATGTTATCTCAAGCATGACCTCCAGGGCAAAAAAAAGTTAATAACAAAAAGAATATATGTATAACAGTTTTTTAGACACAATGATGAGAATTCCGTTTCTGTTACAAGTTAGTTCTTACTTGGAGACATCATTAAATACTATCTATCTATTTATTTATTGAAACAGAGTGTCACGCTGTCACCCAGGCTGGAGTGCAGTGATGCATTTCCAGCTCGCTGCAGCCCCTGCCTCCTGGGCTCAAGCAATCCTCCCACCTCAGCCTCCTGGGTAACTGGGACATCCCTGGCTAATTTTTGTATTGTTTGTAGATATGGGCTCTCCCTGTGAACTATCTCCCAGGCTGGTCTTGAACTTCATCTGCCTCAGCCTCCCAAAGTGCTGGGGTTACAGGTGTGAGCCACCACACCCAGCCTCTTTTATACTATCTTTAAGTGCAACTAAAAAGTAGCCCATGTAGAACATGTTTAAAACTATTTCTACAGAAAACACCAGCTTTGGGCTGGGCACTGAGGCTGGTGGATCACCTGAGGTTAGGAGTTGGAGACCAGCCTGGCCAACATGGCAAAACCCCGTCTCCATTAAAAATACAAAAAATTAGCCAGGTGTGGTGGTGGGCATCTGTAATCCCAGCTATTGGGAGGCTGAGGCAGGAGAATTGCTTGAACCAGGAGGTAGAGGTTGCAATAAGCTGAGATTGTGCCACTGCATTCCAGTCTGGGTGACAGAGGAGACTCTATCTGGAAAGAAAGAAAGGAAAGAAGGGAGGGGAGAGGAGGGGAGGGGAGGGGGTAACGCCAGCTTTCCCAGTACATACAATGCATTTTATATCTGGTTTGTAGTGGATTAAATAATCTGTACACAAGTGTGGTCACTAAAGATGAAATTATATGAAAAAGTTGTGGGTCACTGGCTCAAGTATGTGCCATCTAATTTGAAACCAAAATCTTATAAACTTACCAAGCAAATTTCCCAAAAGAGGAAAGTAGAAGAGAATCTCAGCTTTGAGATTCAATTATTTCCTTTAAGCAAAAGGTAGCTTTAGAACTTTGTTTTTATCAGTTCTGTTTTACCCAAGATTTCCAATTTATCATTAAAAATGCTGATGATTTAGCATTAAAAATGCTGATGAGGAACCTAAGACTACAAATAACTTTTTCTAATGTGTATGAATGCAGCAAAAAAGAAAAAGAAAGAGATAAAAATAAAGTAGTAGATACTTAAAGTAATAATAAAGTTAGCAGTTTAGGAGGTAGAGGCAGGTGGATCACCTGAGGTCAGGAGTTTGAGACTAGCCTGGTCAATGCAGTAAAACCCCGTCTCTACTAAAAACGCAAAAAATTAGCTGGGTGTGGTGGTGGGCACCTATAATCCCAGCTACTCAAGAGGCTGAGGTAGGAGAATTGCTTGAACCTGGGAGGCGGAGGTTGCAGTGAGCCGAGATTGCATTCTAGCCTGGGCAACGAAGCAAGGCTCCGTCTCAATCAATCAATCAATACAAATTTTTAAAAGGCAGTCAACTGCTGAAGAAAACTTAGGGAAAACTCTACTGGACAGTGGCCTAGGCAAATAATTTATGACGAAGACAAAAAAGCGAATGCCCAAAAACCAAAAATAAATGGGACCTAAAAAGCTGCACAGCAAAAGAAATGCTCAACAGTAAACAGACAATGTATAGAATGGGAGAAAATATTTGCAAATTACGCTTCTGGAAAAGGATGAATATCCACAATCTACAAGGAACGCAAATAATAATAATAATAAAAAAATCGACCCCATTAAAGCTGGGCAAAAGGCTGGGCGCAGTGGCTCATGCCTATAATCCCAGCACTTTGGGAGGCTGAAGCAAGGGGATTACTTGAGGCCAGGAGTTCATGACCAACCTGGCCAACATGGTGAAACCCCATCTCTACTAAAAGTACGAAAAAAATTTTTAACTTTTTTTTAATTTTTAAAGAATAAAAACACACAACAGATAAACATGATGGAAACTAAAGATCCTAAAATTCACAGCAGAGTACAATCAATATTCCTTTTGCTAAAGAAGGGAATTTCCAAGTTTTGCACCAGCTACAAAATTCTGGTGATTTCCAAAGTCCCTGCAGAGCACATTAAAGTTGTGAGACTGTAGAGGACAAGTTTTTCTAAAGAAAGTATTTGTGATCCTAGGAGGAAAAAAAAAAAAAAAAAAGAGCACTAATTTTATAAGCAAATAAAATTTAAAGTAGGTCAAAATGTTTGTCTTCAGTGTTCCGGGCCTTAACAACACTTATAATGACACATTACTGATGGTATTTGCAAACAAAAGAAGCATTCAATTAAGATAGTTATTCTTATGATTGAAGGGTGGAGAAAGAAAATCAACACTTGCTACAAAGTTGGAAGACAGCTAACATATTCTATAAACAGTATATTTTGAAAAAATAATCTTTTTAAAAACTCTGGTATAAATACAACAGCCAAGACAATGTGAGGAAGAAAAAGTCAAATTATAAAATTGTTGGTCTTTATGGAGTAGACCTGAAGGCCTCCATTTAGAAGTATCCCACACATTCAGAACACACGAACCTGAGGAAATCAATAGTACTACTCAGTATGGTAATAATAATCACAGAAACACAAATAACAATAGCAGCTACCATTTGAGCTGTCACCCCATGTCAAGCACAATGCAAGAGGAGAGAAAAAAAATGAGGAAGGAATCTAAACAGCACAATGATGTAAAAAGGGCTCTTTATTCAGAGCAACTAGACCTTACAAAGTAGCTTTACTACTGGTTTTATTACTAACTCTGTTTGGTGACTGTGTCACTATATTTCTCTGGCTTTGGTTTCTCCATCTGTAAAGTCAATAAATTGAACAAGATAACCTCTTAAGACCTTTCAGCTCTGTAAGTCCACAATCCTGAATCAAAGGACTACTACCGACCATTTAATTGGCTACAAGGTGAATCGAAATTTCCAGTAAAAGATCTTTTCACTATTTCAGGCACAAATATGTAAACCTCTGGCTGAGAATAAAATTTCTGCCACAAGTGTATAAGATTAACAGGAAATAGACATTTTTATCCGAAATAAAATGTTCTGCAGGCCTACAGATCTGCCCGTTAGGCAGGCAACAAAATTTTCACCTGTCCTGACCATACTTTACATGTTAATCTCCTGGCTAAACATAATCACTACTGTATCACCACCCAAATGAGAAATTAAATGCATATTTGAAAAACAAAATGTCGTATATTTTTAAAGAAGGGCCTAATTTTGTGTTTGAAGTTCTAAGTGATTACAAGTGTACAGTGAACCAAATGTCACCAACTTTTATCTCTGTCTTGCCAGGGCACATAAGGAAGTGAGGAATATCTTCAAGATCTATTCCATTCTACAAGAGATGACAGTAGGCTAACCTAGCACCTAACCTGGTCAGCCAGAGATAAAGATTAGCTAAATAACACTTGTAGAATGATGACTACTGGGTAATAGGAGCTATAAGAAGTGGTTTCACACATAGAGTATTAGCCCCATTTCACCAATGAGGACATTTAGACTCAGGGTGATTAATTTGGCCAATATGACACAACTAGTACGTGGTTGGGCAAGGATTTAAATACAGGTGTTCAGACTTCCAGGCCAATGCTCTTAGTCCTACACTATGCTGAAGTAAGATGTATTCAAACAGCGACACAGCTGCAGTGATTTAACTCTTAACAGATCACAGGTGAAGGAGTGTACTGCGCAGCATGCACCCTTTGGGACATAAGGCCGTATTTATATTTGAGAAGTGGGATGGGAGGTGGAGAGGTTGGCAGGGGAATTAGAAAGAGATGCAAATAAAGTCATTCCAGGACAGCTCTCTCCAAAAGAATGCAAATCATTTATATCCTAGTCCAGCCATTCAAGGGTAATTCAGGAAGCTTTGCACAAGTAAATAATTCCTATTTTTAGCACACTTTAAGGTTTAAAGTAATACACATAATCAACAAGCACTGTGAATCGTAATGGAAGGCAAGTGAATGATTTTTCACCTATAACAAGCAAAGTGATTTTTTTAAATAAACTGTCTTTCAGAGGAATACTTACCATAGCTGGTATATGATCTGTCTAAGTGCACATACATGTACACATATAAAAATGCATCAGTGTCCTCAGGAGCATAAATTAGAATAAAAGCATTATCTCATTCACTATATGAACATCTATGGAGTTAAAACAAAAACTTACCTTAGATGAAACTATTCTATTATCACAAAATCTTTGTGCAATGTAAGCTTCTGTTTCCGAAACTGGATGATTGCCAACAAACACTGTGCGTGTACCAACTCGTTTCTCTTCTCCAGCACACTGACCAAGAGAAAAGGAAAAAAAATCAGTTTTTCATCACATTTCTTCACACTTCTACCAAGCCCAGGATTCTTGTCTAAGCATGTTGGGCTATAATCTGGGGAGAAAGTAGTAGGGATAGGAGAAAATCTTGTTAGGAAATTCAAAATCCACTAAGCTCTTACTTGCTGACATAGTAAAGATTACCAAAAGTGTTGCTTGAACCAACTGTTCTGAGGTCAACGGTGCAATTCTAAAATGATTAAAGAAAGTATCCTAGAGAAACAATATTTTTACTGCCAATCATTTTTCTTTCATCCACAGCTCAAATTAATCTTAATCATAACCTTCACTAGCAACACACTAACTTAAGAAAGAACTGGGAATAGTTCATTTATTATGCAGCTACTGAGGACAACCTTGCCAACTACCTTACTAGAGAACAGAAAGCACAATGAAGATTACTGCTAAACACAAAATAATTGTGTATAAGTGTACAGGTCAGAAATAGAACGGCTGCCACTACTGAAGAAATGATCAACTTTTTGTACAAGGCAACTGTAATTATTTGGCTTTATAGGATAGAGTGTATTTTGCAATCTCTCAGAGCCTTATTGTTGTAAAGTCCCATTTCACACAATATATTTCTCATGCCCCTTTTACATTTTTAATAAGTAGACTCACTGAATTTGAAAGTTTCAAGATTTGGCTCCATTTTATCCCACTCTTTTAATTTTGCTGAGGCCTTACTCTCTTTGCTTAAATCAGGATAATACCCTTTTCTTACATAAGTTTAAGACAGTCTCCTTTTATGGTACTGTATGACCATATCTGAGACTTACCTCATACTTAAGTCAAAGGATGTATGATAGAAACCAATATCCATTTATATATTCCCATTATTTTTTAGAAATATAATTCCCCAACCTAAAATGTTTTAATATATGTAGTCACAAAGATCTTCCTTTCAATGATCTATTTAAAGGTCAAAGATTAAATCCCACTCTCAAAGTAATCATTTTAAGCAAGACTACTAAGAACTTGTAGTCTTCCAATTATCTACAATGTCTGAATGTATTCCAGTCTGAATTTGTGCATCTTAGGTAGACATTATATAGAAAAGAATTTCTCTATTTTAAAAAATAAAAATCACCCCAAAGTATAGATAAAACCTCCTTGCCTTGCATTTTCATTTAAGATTATGATATTGCCTTCAAAATTTGTAGAGAATCATGCAACAAGTAACTGGGACAAACTGAAATAGGAGAGAGATTCAGGCTGTATGTAACTCTGGAAAGCTACCCTGGCATATGCTAAGGGAATCTGTGGGATCCCTGGAGACCTGGAAAAAGTCAGTAAGTATTTATGCTAGATAGCTTAGTTATTTATCTGCCTGCTCAAAGACAAGGCATTAGAACAACTGATTGTCCAAGGTCCTCCGCAAACTAAGAGTGAATGATTCATAGGTAAAATTTCACACAGTTCCTAAAAACCAACAATATTTTCACCAAGTGATAGCTTTGATTTAGTGACTTACTTCTCTGTTTGCAATTGTAATACACAAGTTCTGACACAGCTTATAGGTAAGAGCACCAAATTTTCCATAATATCCATTTTGTAAAACTTAAAGTGAAAGCATATGCACCTGCCAGATGTATAGTTTATTTGGCTTCACCCCAGCTCCCACCTTCTGTTGCAGGTTAAGGCCTCTCTGTGGTCTCCAAAACAGACCTGACTCTTATAACATACCAATTTGAATTACAGAAAATGTCAAGTCCACATATACATTGTCATTTGCAACCTTTAATATTCATACGGCTGTTTAGTTTTTCACACAATCAAGAAGTGGCTGTACAGTAAATGAGGCAGAGTTACCTTTTATACAAGTTCTTAGTTAATTCTACAAGTTGAAAAGGAGAAGAGGCAAAGGAGTTAGAGAATCAGTGAAGTAGGATATGTCGTGTGATGCCATTATGGATTTTTCCCCTCAGTTACAGCAACCACTGATTAACTTAAAAATGGACAAGTGCTTTCCCAATTCTGAATTGACTTCTATAGTCTGTGCCAAAGAACAAAAGGACAAGGCACAACACAATTTTTTAGGCACATTGATATTTTTATGAATTCCCTACATTTGAATGATATTTCCAGTTTTACTAAGAGCTTTCCTCTTATATCATCTCTCTAATCTTTTCTGAATAAGGCCTAGGTGACCTCTACCTCCATTAAATTGGGGAAAATGGACTGAAATTACTATGCAGGTTTAGGGTTATGTGTGTGCAGATCCTGGCAGTGACTGTTGTTAAATGATGAAACAGAAGCCTGAAAGAAGCTGCAGAATGTCCACTTCTGAGCATTTTCCAAAATTACCCAAACAGGTTTGGGTTGAGAAGTGCCTGAGGACTGGGGATAGGGTAGTATGAAGTAGGTGACTTTTCCGTGCCTGTTTCATCCTAAAAGCTTATGAACTTGCAATATCCGGTGGAATTTCCTGTAACCGTATAATAATATTTGGTTCACATTAAAAAAAAAAAAAAGCAATGCTGAACTCATGTAAATTTACCGTAATTGTCCACCTGCTGCCAATATAGTGTTAAAACAGCGCTGTTACTTCCTTTGATTTTGAGTAATGTAGATGTCTTTGCCAAAGCAGAGAAACGCTAAGTAGAAATCATTTTAAAAATTCCCATTTGGATGGCACGCAGTGTAGTCTGGAGTGGGAGTGGGTGATTCCTGTCACCTCATAATGAATTGCAATTCATTAGAGGAGTCCATCCTGTTCTGAACTGCTTCCCATTCAATTGTCCTTAAGAATGGCATTTCTTAAAACTTGAAATATGCTGGTACTTACTGTATTTTAATGAGACATCACACTACATGATAAAGTATGGCAAATATTAAAAGTATGTTTATAATTTATGAATTAACAGAGAAAACAATGTAAATTTCTTCCTCACGATAAAAATCAACCTTTTGTACTCCTAATTTATACTTCCACAGTACAAATTGAATACTGTAAAAAAATAATAAAGCGAGTAATTTATACCCCAAAATGGCCTCTCAATAAAAAACCTAACAGAGTAATTATTTAACTGGCACCATCTTAAAATCCTATGTATTTGCTAGTCATAGAAAATGAAAAGCCACTGGAAACAAAATTTGTTTCCTGATTGCCTCCAGACCAGTGACTAGATAAGAACTGAAGAAAAATAGAGACCTCAATACAAGACTGTCACTATAAAAGCTAGCACAGGATCTGAAATAAAGCCTACCTCTACATCCTTTCCAGGTGCTGGAAGACTTAAATTTATCAGTTAGCCATAGATCTTTGACTCTTAATCCTGATCACACAGTGGCTTTAAACACAATACTGATGCCTGGGTATTTTATTTAATATTTAATTTTTCTGGAAGCTCCCCAGGTGACAATTCTAATTTGCAACCACAGCTGAGAATTACTGCCACAGACTCTCTCTTTCAAACAGTAATCATCCTTAAATAACATCCTATGATTTTTAGTATGCCATCCATAATCTTGCACTACTTCTTTAATGTAAATAATTTAAACAATTTCCTTTCCAAAGGTTAAGAATACAAATAACCCTCAAATATTGTTCTGTCCAAAGATTTTAAGCTGCTCACAAAGACTCCCCTTCGATAATTTATTTTGCATGTGGTTAATCTCCCTTCAGTTATTCAGATCATTAATAATGAGAATTACAGGCCCTGATACAATGCAAAGCTACTTGGATTATCAGCAAATAATCTTAAAACTGATGTAATCCCTGGCAGTTACGGCATTATTTTTATTGGTCATCAAACTGCTTTCTGAAAGTTACTACAGCAAATAAAAGTATTCTCTCAAAAATGAACAACAACAACAAAAATTCTTATTAAAATCTGAAGACTTGGCAATGATTTAAAACGGTTCTCCACACTCCAGCCCAAAGCTATTTTCTTCTCTGAAGCAGGAATATTTTTGAACAGTATAATGTCTTAAAAAGGCCAAATTCAAAACTGAAAGAGCATTTCATCAAAATTTCAGATGTCGATTAAAATGCTCCCAGAAGTCAGCATTTCCACACTAGGGCTGAAGGGGTAGGGGTACAGGGAGATCATTACAGTTCCAGGGAACATTTCCAGTGTATTGAGCTTCTTGGTTAAAATAACTACAATGTATTCAGTGGCCAAATTGCTGAGGTTCACAAGCCCATTCCATTATAACAAGCAAAGCTGAATAAACTTGATGTGTAATTTACAATCATAACTCTAAAATGATCCTTAAAATTGCACGTTTCAGATTTTGCTTTTACTGCAACTTCTATAAGTGATTAAGCCAAAGGAAGTGAAGCAAGACCAATAGGGCATTTTGTGTTGTCTGCCTTTAAAGTTTAATTACGGTCATATTAACTGAAATTCTCAAACAGCTGACCAAAGGACAATTGAATATACAAAGTTTATCCCTAGACATAAATTTCTCTAATTAGGCATTGCCCAAAGGCAGCATATTTAATTGAATAAAACCTGCTATAGTTAATGGATATTAAGCCTCACATAAACACCTAAATCAGCAAGCACAAGGCTTAAGAAAAAGCACTGATCATGAGGATTTGCTTAAGAACAATGCCTTGTTTGGAAGCTCAGAATGGACCTTTCATTATCTCAAACTGATCCACTGAGCAGTTTAATTTCAACAGTGACAATCAATTCTAAGTGTTCCCAATCTGATCCCCCTTCCTCCACCATGCCCTTACTCCAAGAACTTCAGGGCTACAGAAATTGTGGCTCTAAAGACTAAAATGCAGCTTCATTACAGGATGGCTAGTAGAAAGTTGATGGATCGAAAATACTGTAAACTTTTTGTGATTCAAGATTCTAACAGGAGTTTTATCTTTTAATGACTCGGGTTCTTCCATTTATAGGAAGGAACCTGAGACTCTCAGTGTTCCTTTGGGGTCTCAGAAACTCAACTTTCCTTATTAATAGAATCTTTCCTAACCCAAAGCCTGACAATATGCACAA